TCATTTTCTCTTTTCCGCAGCTAAACTCTCCTCCTTGTTCATCTTGAGAAATCTTTCAGTTTAATGCAAATCTTTCAGTTCATTGTTTAATTTCTGGTTTAATATGGTATCAATCGCCATCGATCCGATGTTTTTTCGCTTCCGCACATAGTTTTTGCTTCAAATCGAGTCTCCATCTCTGAGATTTCTTCGATTCTCGCCATCGATTTACAATTTTTTTTAGGGTTCTTTGAATCTGTCGTTTGATCTCCCTCTCTGAGAATTACAAAATTGGTCCTATAATTTGGCCACAGTCTAAAAAACCACCCCGATATTGACCACTTTCAAAATTGGTCCTATAATTTCAAAATTTAATCAAATTTGGTCCATTTTTAATCAAATTTGGTCCTTTTTTAATCATATTTTAATCCATATTCCAGATAAAAAGGACCAAATTTGATTAAATTTTAAAATTATAGGACCGATTTTGAAAATGATCAATATAGGGGTGGTTTCTTGGACTGTTGCCAAATTATATGACCAATTTTAAAATTATACCCACAATTTTGAAATATGTTTGGTGAATCTCATTTTAAATAAGTGCTTTAGTTACTTAAATAATAATATTGGGAAGTAATTGTGAAATAGGTTTGAGAAGTAGCTAATTCCCACTTGTCCAAAATGGACTTATTGGGAAGTGACTTTTTTCAAAAGTGCATTCAATATAAATCACCAAACACCCTAAAATCATTCAGATGGACTTTTAAGTCTAGAAGCCCATTTCAAAAGTGTTTCCAAACACACACTTAATATTCAGAATAACTCAATTTTACTGACAATGTTGGATCATATCAAAATATTTTGCTAGGCATTACTTATTCTTCCCACACAAAACCCTAACAAAACCATCATCTTCTCATCAATCCTTGACACCCTCATACTTCTCCTTATACTCCCTCCACACATGTCCCAATGGCTTCCCCAACAGCTCCTCAAAATACTCATCCCTATAAACCTCCCTCATCTTGTTATTCAGCTCGGCCGTGAACCCATCACTCAACGGATCACAATACTTGAGAAACCGAGCCGTGACACCATATCCCTCGTCCCACCTATTCCCGTCCCTGGGTTTGTCGTAGCTGCCCAAGTCGTAGTACCCGGACTTGACCATCACGTAGTCCGCAACCCCCTCGGTCAGCCCGCCCGGGGCCGTGCCCTTGCCCGACCATTGGAACACGTGTGTGATCTCGTGTAGAGAAGAGAGGTGAAACAGTAACCGGCCCAACCCTCAGGAAAAGCTCGGACGGTCATCCAGTCAACGTAAACGTTGTCCCCGCCGACCTCGGCCATCGACCGTTCGTTTAGGGTCGTGATGTTGACGGTGAGGAGCACGACCCGCTTGCGCTCAGGTTTTGTGCCTTGCTAGAGGATCTTCCAGATGAAGGCGGTGATCGTCCGCATGGTTGATAGGGTGAAGGGGGAGCCGACCTCTTCGAACCGCTGCCCGTCGGGGGTGTCGGGAAGGGTGTTGATGACGCAGTAGTGAAGGGAGGCTGCCCGGGCGGGTGTCGTTTAAGGCGATGAGAGGAGAACAGAGAAAATAGGATTTGTAACGGAACATGGTTTGATGAGGGATTTTTTTGTTTAAACTTTGATGGTTGTGTTTAGAGATGTTAAACGGTTTTTGGCCCGACGGGCCAGCCCGTTTAGACCGGAAAAAAAAGGGTTAGGGCTTTTTATTGGTAGCCCGTTTAAATCAGGGCTTTTTAGGTCCGGACCGTTTAAACCGAAGCCCATTAGGACTAGCCCAAAACCCGCTATGGCTGGCCCGTTTAACATGAGTTGGACGTTGTAAATATTTGCAACAAGTAAGTAATATGCTCTTAGATTCATTGTATATTACAATTTTACTATTCCACTTCACATATAAGTATGAGCTGTAACGGATAATAATGATTTTGAAAGAGAATTATTAACAATATTCTTATCGTACCCACACCAAAATATTTAAGTCAATCAAAACGACTAATAGGAAACAAGTGAGACAAAGACCTAACACATGAAACATAGTGATAGAATTTATAATGATATAATATCGTAAAAATTTCCAAAGCGTACAAAATAAGTAGTAAAATGGTAGTTGTAAGTAATAATTTGATTTTTTTTTTCTTTTGAAAAAAATATGTTATTTAAGAGTTTGTAGTGTGTGTTCATATATGATGTGTAGTTGTATATATAGAGCGGTAAATATTAAATACCGTTAAAAACAATCGCTAATTAGTCATTGTAATTTTTATAATTTTTTTGTATTTTTTATTTTTTGATACATTATTATTATTATTATTATTATTATTATTATTATTATTATTATTATTATTATTATTATTACTACTACTATTATTATTATTATTATTATTATTATTATTATTATTATAACCCGCATAACCCGTTTAGCCTGAATCCCGCTAGGGTTAATGTTAGGTCCTTTTATTGGTAGCCCGTTTAAATCTGGGCTTTTTAGGCCCGGACTGTTTAGCCGGAAGCCCGTTAGGGCTAGCCCGAAACCGCTAGGGCTAACCCGTTTAATATCTCTAGTTGTGTTTTGGGATATGGATTGAGTTGAGGTTGTGGAGTGTGGTGTATATATATAGGGATTTGAAATGTTTTGAATTAATTTGGATTTGGATTAATTTCAACATCCCGTGTCCGACCTGCGTCGGCCCGTGCTCCTCACAACGAGTTATCCAATTAAACTGATAATGTTGTGTACACAAAAGTTTTTTTTAATAATATATAAGTTTTTCATGACGAACATTTTATGATTGAATAATGTTCGTATGTATTGAACTCTATATATCCTAATGCATATTAAATTATAATATTCTCCAAATTTATATACCCGTGCGATGCACAGGATATGCACTAGCCAGTTTCAATTATATGTGTTAATGATTTGAAATCGAGGAAATATTATGTTAGGGATTTCTAGGTGGTTATAATTCAAGAGAGAGATTAACACAATAAGATAATGTATGAATGATATATTTTCTTTTTTGAAAAAAA